AAAAAAAAAAAAAACAATAGTACTGGTGCCTTAGTCTAAACTCTGGAGTTTCTGACTTAATCAACCTGGCATGCATTTATACAGCTGTATTTTTAAAAGTTCCCCAGGTAATTCTAATATGCTGCCAAGTCAAAAACCACTGATTTAGAGGTACTAGGGAAAGCGTTAGGAAGGGGAGAGATTCAGAGTTAATTTTTCAAGAATAAGTAATTATTTCAAAAGTCAGAAATGTCAGGGGGTGAGAATGGAGGTGGATGCACATGTTGAGATTTGGAGTAGATCCCTGATTCTCAAATTGTGGTCCTGAGAGCAGCAGCATTGGCATCAGCATCAAGTAGGTTAGAAATGTGGAGTCTTAGGCGCTGTCCCAAGACCGCCTGAATCAAAATCTGCATCTTCTAGTGATTTGTATGTACATTATAGTTTGAGAAGCAATGGCACGGAAAAATAATCAAGATAAGAAACAACAGAGTGTATTAGTAATTGGCAGCTGGGACCCACAGCCAACAGGCAGAGTAGACGGCATAGCACGCGTGTTAGGTAGGTGCCACACAGTGGAGCCCAGGTTACCAGGTGCCTTGATCACTACAATAAGCAGTGAGAATTTTGTTCTGTGGAAGATTGGCAGTCTAGAGACTTCCAGGTAAAAAAGATGTGTGCAGCGAGGGTTTAGGATGATAATCTGGTCACCATTTACAGAGCAGATTAGGGAAGGGAGAGACCAGACGTATGGAGGTTCTTACAGAAGCCTCCATGTGAATTCTCAGTTTACAAATATGCAAAGAGTAAAACTCAGACCAAGGTGCAATTCAGGAGGCAAGTTCTTATCTTCAAAACACATTATTTTACTGTCAGGAATTCTTATCTCCTCCAGCAGCCTGACTTTGGAGTTACATTAAATATCTGAATAAAGATATACGCTACCTCTTGATCTGAGTGGCCAGCCTGTGTATGTAGAGCAGCTTTGTTATTTCATCCATAATATCCTTTCCCCACAATATTGGAAGACTGTGTAGAGGAACAAGAAGAGAATTCTTATGGTGCAAGAAAGACATTTATGTTTGTCTAGCAGCAATATGATCACCATTGTATCATAAATTTTCTATGTGATCATGGACTAGGGTATTATGTTTAATAAAATATTCTGGGTGAGAGGGGTTACTATTAATTCTTGGAAAATGATATATTTAATATATTATACCAACTCAATATTCCTAATCCTGAACCTATACTGAATATAATTTTTTATTTGATAATCATTTCAGATCAATCACTACAATGCCTAAGGACCATTCATATTAGGGACAGTGACCATTTTATGCTTACAAATGTGCTAATTTATGGAAATTTTT